ATGTGTCTAAATTAATTTTGACTATCAACCTTTTGAAAAGTAAATTTGACAACCTTGCCGAGTTTGGCCACTCCATCGCACACTCCAGACTGAAAGCATTGCTAGACAGTGTCGAGGCACCAGGTCTCCCCAGGCTTTGAGTGGGCATCTTTGGGTGCCACCACCCCCTCTTGGTAAATACAACCTGGTCTTTGTGCCCCTGGCATCTCATCATCATCTCCTTTTAGGCCCCCCCCCCCCCCACCACCGAGTACTTTGTGATGGCAATTAAAAAAATGAAACTCAACTTGACAGTGAACAGGAGACCAGGTAGCTGCTCAGTATGTGGCGCATGGGGAAGTCCTGCCTCGGAGCTGCATGCACTGATCCTCGGGCTGGCATTGTTTGCACCAGTATGTTTGCCCATGCTAGCTAGGGGAGCTTAGGATTCCCCTTTGAAGCTGGGCATGGCCCAGGCTGTTGAGTGGTTTGTGGACACTTAGAAACTTTGAGAAGAGGTTATCTGATACCTTTGGCTGACTGCAACCTCCACCTCCCAGGTTCAAGGGGTTCTCCTGCCTCAGCCTCCCGAGTAGCTGGGACTATAGTCACGTGCCACCATGCCCAGCTAATTTTTGTATTTTTAGTAGTGACAGGGTTTCACCATGTTGGCCCGGACGGTCTCAATCTCGTAACCTTGTGATCCGCCCACCTCAGCCTCCCAAAATGCTGAGATTACAGGCGTTTTAAATAAATACGTTTACTTTGCCCAAGCATGGTGGCTCATGCCTATAATCCCAACACTTCAGGAGACCAAGAAGAGAGGATCCGCCAGGAGTTCAAGACCAGTCTGGGAAACATAGTGAGACCTCGTCTCTACAGAAAAAAATTAAAAAGAAAAATTAGCTGGGCGTGGTGGTGCATGCCTGTAGTGCCAGCTACTCAGGAGGCTGAGTTACAAGTGTTGCTGGAGCTTGGGGGTTCAAGGCTGTGGGATTCTCACCACAGGTGTGGTGAGCCATGATTGTACCACTGCACTCCAGCCTGGGTGACAGAGCAAGAACTTGTCTCAAAAAAATAAATATTAAAACTATCTTTTTGAAATAAAAATTTGCCACCCCCATATCTTTCCCTGTGTGTCTTACTGGCCATTAGGATGGAAATATCTAGGAATCGCTAAGCTAGCATATCCACCCTGCAGCGGTTGATCTCGACTAGATGGAGTCCGGAGGGAAGATGGCGGATCCTTCCCTGCCTGGGATCCTGTCTTAAAGGGCAGAGGAAGCGTCAGCTAGAATGGCTGTGGTCTGGAGTTTTAAGTCTTTCTGCAGCTGCCCTTGCTTAATCAGCCGACTCAGCTACACTGCCTTTGAGGGAGTCCCTTGAGAGGCCACAGCACACATTTTCTAGGGCTGGGGCTGTTGTTCACTGACAGGGCCTTAAGGCAATGATTCCCAAAGTCTGTGGCTTGCTAGAATCACCTGGAGAGCTTCTTAAATAAAATCCCGATGCCCAGGTTCCCCTATATTGTTAAATGAGAATGCCCGAGGGTGGGAGCCAAAGTCACTAATTTGGGAATCTCTGCTTTGAGTGTGCAAGAGAGCTTCATGCCTTGGAGTGAAGCTACCACACACTTCCAAGACACAGATGGTGTGAACCTGTGGATTAAATAGAGGGGGAAAAAGACACACAGTTTTCTGTTTTACAGTCTTATTTTGGTAGTCCCTGCTTCTACTGGGCCTGACAGTTGTGGGCCACCACTCCCAACCCAGAGGTTAACAGTGAGCCAAGATCGTGCCATTGCACTCCAGCCTGGGCAGCAAGTGCGAAACTCCATCTACAAAAAGTGACCTAACACCTCTCTGCAGGGACACAGCACAAAAGGCCCTGTAACTTGTACAACAAACGTTTCACGTAACTGGGGGTCCCTAGAAACGGAAGTCATTGTGAGGCTCCATTGCATTTGACCCTTCCTCCTGATTTCCTGCATGGAGGGTCAGGCGTCCCGCAGCCACTCTTAAGGTTACAAACTACAAAGCAGACATTTGCAGCCAGCACCTAAGTGTCAGTTCAGGAAGAGATGGACACAGAATTGGGGAGATACGTACCACAGCCACTCTTCTGTTGTGGTCTCTGAACCTTGTTCCTCTCCCCCCATTCTGAAGGGACACTACTCCAGGGATTTTCCCCAGCATCTAGAGTCCCGAATCTTGAACAACCTTCCTGTGGCCCCACAGATGGGGATGCCCTGCTGCCTAACACTCTCCTGCCGGGGCCACTGTCTCCCCACTGATTTCTCTGTGGGGTGGGAAGGCCTCCTGAAGCCCCCAGCAGCCCGTAGTCAATGATGCTGCTCCCAGGTGGCCTTGAGCACATGGGGCCCTGACCGTCCTTGTCCCTGGAATTCTCCTTTCCCCTGGTCTTCTGCCGTGGTGCTGCTGTCTGCTGTGGTCCTATAGGGTTTTCGTTTTCCCTCCTTACAGTCTCAGGCTGCGCTTTGGTCTTTTTCTTGTCTCAGGTTCCCGTCTCCAGCCCTGACCTCTGTCCCACTCTTCGTGTCCCCGTTCCTCAGCCCCTCCCGATGGGCCTCCTCTGGTTCTATGCCCCTCTTTCCCTGATGGCTTCTCCAAATCATGCTGGTGCTTTATCCATAGCTTCTGTATCATACTCCCAGGCCGGTGGCCGCCACCCTCGCAGAAGCAGACTCTGTTCCACTGCCCAGGACCCCACCCGCCAGCCCATCGCCTGGGACCTGCTCACCCAGCTGTCTTCCAGACCTGCCCTCACTCCTCCCAGCAAAACCAGAGCCATGCTGGCCATTGCCACTGCCCTGAGCCTCCCTTGCACTGTCCCCTTCTCTTGGTCATACACCACTTTTCCTTCCTGTATGTGATTTGTCTTTAAACGAGAACAAGTAAGTGTTTTCTGGGAGATTTCGTTCCCAACATCTTCCTTATGCTGAGCTCCTGTGTGTCACACAGGCCATTGCTACTCATGTGCTCAGCTGTCCCTGCTGCACTTCATCTGGGACTCCACAGTGTTACCTGTGGGGCCCCGCTTGCGTGGGGAGGGTTTTTAGCACCTGCCCATTTGCAGGTCGATTTTATATTATGGGTAGAGCCGTAAGTTCATACGGCAAGATAATTGGCTAGGAACTGGTGCACCACTGTTTCTGTTAAGCCGAGGAAAACCTGAAAGAGACGCGGTAGTTCATCTTAAGAAATGAGAAAGAGTTTTTAATTGGAAACTTAATATAAAATAATAGTTTGCCTCAGCAGGTGGCATAGTGCAGCATCTTTTTTGTTTGAAACAGGGTTTCATTCTGTGGCCCAGGCTAGAGTACAGCCTGCCCAGCATCTTCTTGGTGCTGGTCCCACTGATGGAGCAAGACCACCATCTTTCCATTGCTGTCAGGCTCCTGAAGAATCCAGGAACTACAGATGGTGGGAACATACTAAGTGGACTCACAGAAAGTAAACATCACAGGCCACGCGCAGTGGTTCACATCTTTAATCCCTTTGGAAACACTTTGGGAGGCCGAGACAGTGAGACATGAGGATTATGGTGCTGGAGGCGTGAGTGCGGCTCACTGCCTCCCAGGTGGGTTCAAGCAATCTTCCCGAGTAGCTGAGACTGCAAGGTGCACACCACCATGCCTAGCTAATTTTTGTATTTTTTGTAGAGATGGGGTCTTGCTGTGCTGTCCTGGCTGGTCTTGAACTCCTGGGCTCAGTCTGCCCACCGTGGTCTCCCAAAGTGCTGAGATTATGGGTGTGAGCCGCTGCTCCCAGCCTTGTAGCATCCTGATGAAGAGCTTGTTCTTTACTAAATCGTGCTGATCCCCCCCCACCACTCCCCTGATTTGTAGGAGGGGAATGATTGTGTCTGCTGCGTGGAATTGTGAGCATTAAATGAATTCGCAAAACACTGGCGTTAGCACAGTTCCTTTTAGTACATGGCATCTTAATTTTTGTTCACCATTGTAAAGGATGGCTCACACAGTTACAGTAGTGGGAACGAGAGCATTTCTGACCATTGGCCTGAGAATCTAGAAGTGAAATTGACGTATGAGAACATTTCAGTCGCCCAGAAAACACAGTGAGCACCTACCATGCAGGGGTTATAGTCCCTAGGGTTCCGGGGACAAATAAGACACTCTATCCCAAAAGAACTGATCAAGGTAAAGAAGTTGTAGATAAGTTAGAGAAAGTGAAGGAAAGGGAAACTCTTGGGGAGGAGAGGGGAATTTTGTTTTAATGGAAGGAGACTTTCTTCAAAGTGCTTTCCAAGACAGGAGAAAAATCCCATGGGGCTGAAGTGCCGCCAGGAGTTTAGACAGCAAGTTACCAGCCTTCGAGGGGCCTGCTCACTGGTCAGGACACTGTGCTCGTGAGACGAGAGTGACTTCTACCTTATTCTTCTCTGTTCCATGGCCGCAAACCACGTCGGCCCTTGACTGTGGTTCCGCCCTGGCCCTGTCTCCTCGGACAGCCTAGGCAGCTGTCGCTCAGCAGCTTCTTGGTGCTGGTCCCACTGATGGAGTGAGACCACCATCTTTCCATTGCTGGCGAGCTCCTGAAGAATCCAGGAACTACACGTTGGGAAGGTACTAAGTGGACTCACAGAAAGTAAACATCACAGGCCACGCACAGTGGTTCACGCCTCTAATCCCTGTGGGAGGCTGAGACAGTGAGACAGGAGCTCAAGCATTTGGAACCAGCCTAGGCAACATAGCGAGATTGTAGCTCCACAAAGAAAATTTTATTGTAAGTTTTTAATACAAAATCATTTTTTAAATATCACATTTATATTGTCACCTCTGCATAACCAGTCAAATCCAGTTTTCATATTTAAAGCAAATGAGCCCCCTCCTCTCAATGGGAAAGATGAGCTGAAGCTTCATTTCTTCGATAGGACTGGGAAAGGAAATCAGACAAAAATCTAAGGAAGGACCAAATGTACAGAGTGTGCAGATAGGCTCATGCAACTGAACTGAAAATACCTGCCTTTTCTCTCTGCAGGGGAAAGTGGAAGTTGAAGCTGGGAAAGAAGGTATGAAGTTTGAAGCGAGCGCCTTCTCATACTACGGTGTGATGGCCCTGACGGCCTCTCCAGGTGCGTTTGGTCCCCAGCCGTGTAGGGCAGGGCTGCCTGTTAGGAAGTAAGGCTCCCTCTAGTCATCTTTCTTTCTGTATCTGCCAGCTGGCCTCATTCATTTCCTTTTTGAATTTTTTGTTAAAGTACATCACATAGGCAGAAAATCCACACAAATCCTATGTGTACGCCTCCATGAATTCTCACAAGCTGAACACGCTCCCTTTGAGTCACTGGTCCCCAGAGTAACTGCTGTCTTAACTTCTCAGTTAGCTTAGTTTTGCCTGCTTTTGAACTTTGCATAAATGGAGACACGGTGTATGTTACACAGGCTGGCTGCTTTCTTTCAGTGTCGTGCTTATCACGTCACCTCTGTTGCAGTGTGTGATCACACGCTTTCCTCTTGCTGTGTCTAGTATGCCACTGTGTGAATGCACAGCTGTGTGTGATCACACGCTTTCCTCTTGCTGTGTCTAGTATGCCACTGTGTGAATGCACAGCTGTGTGTGATCACACACTTTCCTCTTGCCGTATCTAGTATGCCACTGTGAGAATGCACAGCAGTGTGTGATCACACGCTTTCCTCTTGCCGTGTCTAGTATGCCACTGTGTGAATGCACATCCATATGTGATCACACGCTTTCCTCTTGCCGTGTCTGGTATGCCACTGTGTGAATGCACATCCATATGTGATCACACGCTTTCCTCTTGCCGTGTCTGGTATGCCACTGTGTGAATGCACATCCATATGTGATCACACGCTTTCCTCTTGCCGTGTCTAGTATGCCACTGTGTGAATGCACATCCATATGTGATCACATGCTTTCCTCTTGCCATGTCTAGTATGCCACTGTGTGAATGCACAGCTGTGTGTGATCACACGCTTTCCTCTTGCCATGTCTGGTATGCCACTGTGTGAATGCACAGCAGTGTGTGATCACACACTTTCCTCTTGCCGTGTCTGGTATGCCACTGTGTGAATGCACATCCATATGTGATCACACGCTTTCCTCTTGCCGTGTATGGTATGCCACTGTGTGAATGCACATCCATATGTGATCACACGCTTTCCTCTTGCCGTGTCTGGTATGCCACTGTGTGAATGCACATCCATATGTGATCACACGCTTTCCTCTTGCCGTGTCTGGTATGCCACTGTGTGAATGCACATCCATATGTGATCACACACTTTCCTCTTGCCGTGTCTGGTATGCCACTGTGTGAATGCACATCCATATGTGATCACACGCTTTCCTCTTGCCGTGTCTAGTATGCCACTGTGTGAATGCACATCCATATGTGATCACATGCTTTCCTCTTGCCGTGTCTAGTATGCCACTGTGTGAATGCACAGCTGTGTGTGATCACACACTTTCCTCTTGCCGTGTCTAGTATGCCACTGTGTTAATGCCCAGCAACACACATGTGCTTTCATTGCTGATAGACATTGGGGTAGTTTCCTGTCTGGGGTTACCATGAATATGTGGCTTTGAACATTCTTGAACATGTCTTTGGGTGAATGTGTGTTCCCGTGTCTGCTGGGTGTGCACCTGGGAGTGACATTGCAGGTCAGAGGGTGTGTCCCTCTGGATTCAGCTCTGATGTACCTACGTATCCCCAACCTGTGCTGTGAGTTCCAGTTGCTCTATCCAGCATTTGGCATTATTGAGTCTTTTAAATTGTTAGCAGTTTGGAAGGTCTTAATTTGCATGTACCTGAGGACGATAAGGTTGTTTCTATATACTGATTGTGGCTGGCTCTTCTTGTCTGGAGAGCTGGCCAGTTGAGTCAGCCATAAGGGTGGGTGGCCATGGGGAATTGACCAAGTTCTCTGACCACAAGATTCCAAGATGCCAGCCAGCTAGATGTGCTCTCAGATGTGAACACAGATAGATGCCTGGTGGCTTGCTGGCCTCTGGGGATGGCGCTCCTTGGCAGAACGCAAACCCTTGCTATTAATACCTTACGCAACCCGAACAGGTCAGGCAGTTCGACAGAGGTTCTAGAGTGCCACCTTGTGGCAAAAATACCAAATGATATGCAGTGCTAGGAAACCTCATTTACAAACCTCAAACCTAATAATAGACCATTTTAAAAGAATTCCTGAAAACCAGGCTTCAAAGGGGAGGAGATACCTCTAGACAAGACTGTTTTGTGACATTAGTCTTCATCAACTGTACCACCCAGAAATAGTCTGAGGAACCCAAAGATGTTACAGTTAGAAAGTCACTGAGACGTCAAGGTTTCCTCTGTCCCAAAAGTACCTTCTCACTATCCTGGTATAGGTGTTTGAGTTCTGGGGGCACAGTGTCCCCATTGTCAACTGCTCACCAACACCCACTGTGAACATGGGCCTGTCTGACCCTACTTCATTAGTAGGTTTCTGTTGTGAACTTAAAGGTGACCTTCGTTTTCACTGCTTAGTGAGAGAGAGAGGGTAGCTCTTACCTAGGCATGAGAAGACCTGGGTATAGCTTCAGCTCAAACACAGGCAGGTCATGTGATATTGAGTGAGGCTCTTTGTCTCCTCCTTGTTAAGAGGATATAATGATACCAGCTCATGTGATATTAGAAGACTAGGATGCAGTGATCCTTGCACAGTGCCTCGCCCCCTTAAAGCACGAGAGGAAATGTGGGCATAGCAGAAAGGTGCTATGATGGTGATGCATTTTGGCAGCCAACCTCAAATTAGCCCCAGGTGAGCAGAACCAGATTTATAAGATGACTCTGAGAAGAAACTAGAGGTGGCCAGGCGCAGTGGCTCATGCCTATAATCTCAGCACTTGGGGAGGCTGAGGTGGGTAGATTACGAGGTCAGGAGTTTGAGACCAGCCTGACCAACATGGTGAAACCCCATCTCTACTAAAAATACAAAAAATTAGCTGGGCATGGTGGCACACACCTGTAATCTCAGCTACTTGGGAGGCTGAGGCAGGAGAATTGCAGGAACCTGGGAGGCGGAGGTTGCAGTAAGCTGAAATTGCACCACTGTACTCCAGCCTGGGTGACAAGAGTGAGACTCCATCTCAGAAAAAAAGAAACTAGAAGAGTGGGTTGTACATTTCTACCAGTTGCTGGTTCCTGGAACATAAATGTCAGCCCAGTTCCTGTTGAACTGTAATGGAAGGACAAGTCTCATGCAGAAGACATGGTGAGCAGCCTCCCGAGTCTGGAGCTGCTAAAAAAGAAGGGGAGTTCTAGTCCAGGCTGGCCAACATGGTGAAACTCCGTCTGTACAAAAATTAGCCAGACGTGGTGGCACATGCTTGTAGTCCCAGCAGCTTTGGAGGCTGAGCCAGGAGACTGCTTGAACCTGGGAGGCAGAGGTTGCAGTGACCCCAGAGCATGCCACTGTACTCCAGCCCAGGCCACAGCGCGAGACTCTGTCTCAAAGTTTTAAAAAGTGGGGGGATTTCATTAATCGCATCTTATCTATTCCAAAGCCTAGTATTTTACTTTACAACTAAGATTTGGGGTTTTGTATGTTTATTGAGAGGCGCAGTTAGTACAGGCATCTCAAGATGCAGTTTCTGTTTATTGATGTTCTGCCTGCCCCAGAGGTGTGATTCCTGCTCAACAGTACATGTTCTGAGACTTTTCGATCTGATGGGGGCTGCAGCCCCCAAGTAAGCGGCGATGAGGATGACTCTGGTCTGCATTCCCAGGAAATCCGTGTGTGCTCTTACTTACTTTCCTCTCTTTTGAGATTTGAAAGCATTCCTAAGCAATTCAGAGCTTTAGGTCAAAATTATACTGAGCTGAATTGCCGCAGATGGGGAGCTGTAAGCTGCGCAGTCAGTATTGGGGTGCAGGCACCAGCGGTTTGGGCTAGGCTCTGAAGGCAGTTGACTAACTGAGCTCCCCTTTTTGCCACTACTTGTGACTTAAACCCTTAAGAGTAGCACGATTCGAGCTATAAACCCCAATTGGTTATTAGTGGCTTAAGAGATTTCTTCGTTAGTAACAGGCTCATGGGTAGGATTTTGCCTGATCTTGGCCTCCGTGTGTTCCTCTTCCTGGAAAGCAGTGTGTGTTCTGTTTTATTTCTAGAATACTATACTGACCTGTGCATTTCTGCAACTGAATGCTCATATTGTATTGGTAGAATGAGTATCCCCTCCTGTCCCATGATTACAGAGATCTCTTTTCTTGCCTTTTGATGCGATCTCACCCTGTTTTTCTCCATTTTTCAGTTCCTTTGTCCCTGTCTCGTACCTTTGTTGTCAGCAGAACAGAGTTGTTAGCAGCAGGTTCTCCAGGTAATTCTGCATGCTTCCTTTCCGTAATTCTCCCGGTTGCCTCCCCTGCCCCCCATCATGCCTGGCTGGCTAGGTCTGCTTCCTTTACCTGGACAAGCTGTTTTCAGTGTCCCTTGGAGCGCTAAAGCTCTAAGGTTCCATAACTTTATAGTGAGCTCTCCAGGAAAACATAAGCCACGGCAGGTGGAGAGTCCAGAACGCCGCACAGTCACTGTGTACAGGAGACATGTGCCAGGAAACATGGAAGGGGGGACGGTTCTCACACAGGTTGTTAATGCTCCCTGCTCTTCCTACCCGCACGGCTGACCTTGAATTTTCAGGTCAGCAGTAGGGGGTGCTGTTCTTGGTTCTTACTCTGACCTCAGCAAGTTACAGTGTGTGGAGTTTGCAGAGGCCCTCAAGCCTTGAGGCCACTTTTATAGAGCACGTTTGCCGAAGGCCTGAGAACTGAACTCCTCTTGGTATGCAAGAAAAATCCCCATCCATGCAGGTGCACGGCATTCCCGTCTCCCGGCTTCTCATTCCCACATCCCTATGAGCAGAGCGCGAGCACTTCTGCTCCCCATCAGGCAGGTGGCCCGCTTCTCCCGCAGCCTGACTTTGTTTTGGAGTGAACACCGGGCACATTCCTACCCGGCTGCTGCTGACTGCCCTGCAGGAGAGGGCGGCCAGGCCTAGCTAACTCGTCCAGCCATTAACAAGAAGGGAAAAGGCTTAATCTGTCTTTAATTAAAATTGCTGGGATTTCCTAGTTGGTAACACAACTTTCCTATATTTATCTTGGGAGTTTTTTCCATAATCACTGTCATAAAACTTTGGCACATAATTTTGGCCACAAAACCTGACCTGAACTTGGGGTCAGCCACTTCGGTCTTCACTCTGCTTGGTGTGAGTCCTCGTCCGTCTCAGCACAAGTCAAGTGTTTGTGGACTAGGGCTGCCCCAGAATTGATGGGTGATGTCTGTAATGTGGATGTACAGACTGTATTACCTTCCAAATTTCAAACACCTCTGGCCCCCCAGGGCTTCAGATGAAGAATGTGGACCTTTAGTAGTAGTAGTAGTAGTAGTAGTAGTAGTAATAGTATTTGAAGTAAGATGGCATTTGAGGCTCTGAGCAGTGAGCTGAAGCTCGTGCCCTATGAGCTGTGGAAGGGGTCCTAGAAGGCAGGGCCTGCTCCTCCAGGGTGTGGTCATGGGGCCAGGCAGTAGGCTCCTGGCAGAGGAGTGGGTCCACTCAAACCAACAGAGGGCAGTGGGGTGAGAGGAAACGGACTGAGTCACCCTAAAATCCTCCTGAGGAGAAAACAGGAGACTCAGAAGTACTGCAGGAAGCCTCAGACAGGCAGAGGTCTGATCAGTGGCAAAGTACCTTGAAATGTTTTTATGGCCTTCAAGTGTTAACACATAGACACTGTTTCAAAGGTATCTGTAGAAATGGTGATGAGATTGGTGGCTGAAGCCCAGGGATACAGTGGGATCCTTTGTTTCAAACAACTGACTAATCTGTTACCCTGGGTGAAGTCATTGCATGTCCAAAGGCTGGGGGGGTGGAGAGCACATGGTAGCATGGTCTGGGAGGAAGCTGACAAGAAAGAATAGAAAATTCTAACTAGGCCCAGCGTGGTTGCTCACACCTCTAATCCTAGCACTTTGGGAGGCCGAGGTGGGTGAATCACCTGAGGTCAGGATTTTGAGACCAGCCGGACCAACATGGAGAAACCCCATCTCTACTAAAAAAAAAAATAGAAAATTAGACATGGTGGCACATGCCTGTAATTCCAGCTACTAGGGAGGCTGAGACTGAAGAATCACTTGAACCCAGGAGGCGGAGATTGCAGTGAGCTGAGATGGTGCCATTGCACTCCAGCCTGGGCAACAAGCGCAACTCCATCTCCAAAAAAGAAAGCTAACTAGGCTCACTTATGGGGTACCTACTCATGCCAGGTAACCTCTTTGTACATTATCTTATTTTTAATCCTTGTCAGGCCTTATAAGATGGGTACCAGGGCCAGGCACAGTGTTTCACGCCTGTAATCTCAGCACTTTGGGTGGCTGAGGTGGGTGGATTGCCTGAGGTCAGGAGTTCAAGACCAACCTGGTCAACACGGCAAAACCCTATGTCTACTAAAAATACAAAAACTAGCTAAGTGTTGTGGTACACGCCTGTAATCCCAGCTACTTGGGAGGCTGAGATAGGAGCATTGCTTGAACCTGGGAGGCAGAGGTTGCAATGAGGTGAGATTACATGGCTGCACTCCAGCCTGGGTGACGAAAGTGAGACTCTGTCTCAAAAAAAAAAAAAGGGGGTACCAGGTAATCATCCACATTTTACAGATAAGGAATCTGAACCTTAGCAAAAGTGGATCACCTATTCAAAGTTCCATTCTGCTAAATATAAAAGTCTGTTAAATTGTTAATTTGCCTTGCTCTCTTAGAAGTGGAAACAAGGAGAACTGCCACTCTGAATTTAATTTGTCTAACAGTGGAAAATTAGTTCATGACTTCACAATTGGAGGGAGAGTTAAGATGTAAAAATTTTAGGAGAAAGTGGCTGGGCATGGTCACTCATGTCCGTAATCCCAGCACTTTGGGAGGCTGAGGCAACCTGAGCTCAGAAGTTCAAGACCAGCCTGGGCAACACGGCAAAAACCCATTTCTACCAAAAATACAAAAATTAGCCAGGTGTGATGGCACATACCTGTAGTCCCAGCTACTAAGGAGGCTGAGGCAGGTGGATCCCCTGAGCCCAGGAGGTTGAGGCTACAGTGAGCCAAGATCAAGTTACTGCATTCCAGTCTGGGTGACAAAGTGAGACCCTATCTCAAAAAGAAAAAAAAAAAAAAAAATAGGAGTAAGTGAACTTGTCACCGAAGATTCTTGGAATACTTATGTTTTATTCTGGGTGTCCTGTTTTAAGACAGTGATGGGGTGAGATGAAGAACAGCTACAGGATTTATCCTGGAGAAGAGACTTAAGGGGACCATCACTCTCTTCATCTAGCTAAGGGCTATTTTGAATAGCAGAGGAAGAAAAGGCACTCACTAGAGCTTCACACAGAGGAAGTGAGACTGTCATTTGAAGTTAGGGAAGGCACGTTTTGATGGGTTTGATGACAAACTTTCCTAATAGCTGAGGGGCAGGTGCAGCCAAAAGCCAGCTCCTCTGGGGGGCATCTGTCAGGGAGACATTGCAAAGAGAAGCCAAGCCTCAGATGGGAGAATTGGTCCCCTCAAATCCTGTGATACGAGGTGATTCAAGACCTGGCCACGGTGGGCACGCAGTTCCTATCTGTGCAATAGAGTTGGTTAGAAAAGCAAAAAGTGAAAGAAGCCTTGGTGAGGGGGCGTTTTTTATGACATTTATATTAGAGGCGACAATGAACTCCCCAGAAGAGCAACAACACCGAGACTGGCATTCTTCCACTTTGTTTTAATAGAATTATGCTACGAAACCTGTCTGGAGACTCCATAGCACCCAAGATAACTTACTCAGACTCTTCAGGGCTTTGGTGTCTTCCGGCATTCTTGAATTCCTGAGACATCCTCGGGCTACCTGATGGGGGCTTTTACTGGGGTCAGAGACAAAACTAATAGGTTTAGCTGGAAGGTATGGTATAAGCAGACAAATATTTTGATCCGTTTACAACACATACCGAATTATGAATATTCTGAAGAGTCCCTTTTTTTACTTCCGGCAAAATGATGAAGTGCAGTCCTCTCGGGGCCTGTTTGGTATCAGGCAGCTTCTGCATGTCAGACCTTGGCCTGCCCTCGCCTGAGCATCTCACAGCACCTGGGAATGTTCCTCACACAGGCACATAGTGCAGGGTCTTTGCTGTTAGAGACTTGGGAGGATTGTGTCTGTCACATTCACAGGCCCAGGCAATTGAGATGGATATAGCCTGCTGGTACAGGGAAGCCAGCGAGTCCGCTGTGCATAGGAGACCCTCTGTGGCACACTGTGTGGCTGAGACATCTGGAAGAAGTTGGTTGGGCTTGTGTGGCATTGAGTCTTTTTTATTTTGGAAAATAAAGAGCTGTTTTTATTGGCCATATCTACTTAAATGGTTGGATTTTCCCCCTCTTTTTCCAGGTGAAAATAAATCCCCTCCTCGCCCATGTGGCTTGAATCATTCAGACTCTCTCAGTCGAAGCGACCGGATTGACGCTGTCACACCAACACTGGGGAGCAGCAATAACCAGCTCAATTCCTCGCTCCTCCAAGTCTACATCCCCGATTACTCGGTACGAGCGCTCTCGGATCTGCAGTTCGTTAAGGTGAGAGATGTGAGTGCCACGTGGCCGGGCCTGACAGTTAGATGTCAACTTCCCTGGAAAATTGTCTGTTTTGCTCCTGGCATTCCTTGGAGCTCTCCCTTTGTCACTTTGTGGGGGCCCTGCCTTCCATTCTCAACTACAAGCCCTGTTTTCCTCTGTTGTGCCCAAGCCTCAGGTTGAGAAAGACGTTGATCATCTTGGTTCTGTCCAGTGAGCTGCCAAATCAAATATGGCTCTTTCAGGAAATGGGAGCTGGAGATCCTGGAGAAAAGGACAGCCCCTTTTCAAAGAGCTCTCCTGGGCACGTGGCTCCGGTGGCTCCCTACCTGGCCTTGGGAAGGCTGAGGTCAGGAGACTCCAGAGGATTGCAGGGAAGGCTCCGCTTCAGTCTTCTACCTGGCAGTCAGGGTGTTCCTCTTGGTCTGAAATGAAGACGACTTTTGGAGAACAAGCCAGCCTTAGCTGGGGGAAACCAGTCTCTATTTTCTAGTCTCTAAAATTTTGAGATAATATTTGGAATTGGGTTCCATCAGTAAGAACTGACTTGTTCACCAAAGTCAATGTGAACTTTAAAAAGTGGCTCACTGCGCTCAAGTGTGATTTTCTCCTAGAGAAGCTGCCGTGGGCCTGTCGGGATTTAACATGTGATCTAATGTGGAGATAAAAGAACCTAAATAAGCATTATCTTGGTTTGTTTTCTGTGCGTCTTCTGGCCCCAGATCTCAAGACAGCAATACCAAAATGCCTTGATGGCATCCCGGATGGACAAAACCCCTCAGTCTTCAGACAGTGAAAACACTAAAATCGAATTGACTCTTACGGAGCTGCATGACGGGTTGCCAGATGAGACAGCCAACCTACTCAACGAACAGAACTGTGTGACACACAGTAAGGCCAACCACAGCCTGCACAGCGAAGGCGCCATCTAGGCTGCGCCGGCCTGCACCACCCACTCCCTAGGGCCCAGCCCCGTCTGCCCATGACTTCCACTGGTGTGAGCTTGTCCGCCATGCTGCATCCCGCAACATCCTGAGACCAAAGACCTGGTGCCCTTCCCAGGAGCTGCGGAGGAAGACGGAGAGGGGAGGAATGGAAAGGAGAGCGTGGAGTTGGCAGCTGGGGCATGGCGTTCAAGATTTTGGAGATGAACTGATTCCGCCCAAATAGAATCATGTTTATTTTTTCAGTGCTCCCTTTTATCATTATTCATGCTCCTCTGCCCTTGATTTGCATGAAGTTGAAAATTGTTGCGATTTATTTTTTCAAGAGATCATGTTTTTAAAAAGTGTCTTTTGCAGAGTTTTAAGTTGTTCTGTCTGAACTCTGCTGCAATCCCATGATGTGACCCTCATAGGCTGGACTTGCCCCTCAATGGCCTTCCTTGGCCCTCCCAGGGAGGGGCACCCTTCCTCTGTGCCCCAGTGGGTACCACTGTTGAACTTGCTGGCTCAATGAAGAAGACCATGTTACTGCAGAACCTGCCAAGTCTGTCATCACTGTGGGGCGTAGCCTGCCTCAGAGGGACCGCAGTCACCTCTCTGAGCTCAGTGGGGTTTTGAGAATTTAATGTTTAACTGTACCCCTTTCCCTCAGGAAGATTTAACATTTGCTTGGGAATATGATTTTGCTCCCACCCTAAGGAATTTTTATCACCAAAATGAATGTTAATGAATTTAAAACCCATGGTTTATCATTGGCAAGAGGCAAGCTGACTTCACCATATCATTCCAGCCTGGGGTCTCCCGGCCAGCCCTCCCCTTACCCAGCGCCCGAGCCCACAGAGTGTCGTCACCCACCTCCTTGGTCCTTGCTCTTGTTAACCCAAGATGCTGCTACACAGATGCCAAATGGAAATCTTCCACAGGGCTTTTCAGTAAATACGTGATGTGGAGCGCAAGCTCCTCCCCGTCCCACTAGGACACACATTATCAGAAAAGGAGTTGGACCTTCCAGCTGTCCTCTGTACCATGTGCTGAGAAGGCATTTCGAGACCCATGTTTTCAAAGGAGGGAACTTTGGGGATTGCCAGCCCCTGCTCCTCCTCCCAGGGAGCTAACTGTCCCTCTTCCCCTGTCCCTGAGCCCACGGGGCCCGGCATTGGCTGTGTCCCCTGCCTGAGGGCCACTGTCCCTCCCGCCTCAGATGTGGCCGACACCAGAGAGGCTGCCTGTAGAGCCAGGGTCAGTTTGGCCCCAAACAGGGATTCAGAAACCAAATGTGTGTTGTGGCCATTTTATGTGTGTCTCCGTCTTACTTTAATACCAAATTCATCGTGTAGTGAAGTGATGTCAGGAGGTATTTGAGTGACTGAATCCTGAACTAGAGCTTCTCTGTGTTCTGTTAGCCCAAGGCATGTGTGTGTGTTCTTGGCTATTCATACACTGAGATGAAACCATACTTGCCAGTGTTCACATAGGATTATCGGTGCCCGCCGCATCCATCACTAGGAAAGGGGACAGCGTTTTCTGTTTGGGCTCACTGTGAAGCGAGGCCTTGGGTAAGCAGCCGTTTTCTTCCTCCTCCAGGTAGGAAGTCCATCCAGCCCAGCCGGGCTCTGTGCGGTACAGGGAGTGTGGTTGAGGAGCCAGATGGCAGCAGGCGGGCTGGCTGCCTGGTGAGCAGTTTGTGCCTCAGTGTCGTGCATGCTCAGCTCAGTATTTCCTCTGCGATGTCAGTCCTGGAGGGTCTTTCTCAGAAGGTGTCATGTCCATAGTGGGGGAAGTACTGGTTTCACTTGATATAGAGAGTCATGGGGAACCCCGAGGGGTAGCCTGCTACTGGCACCCAACCTGCCCCCATCATGTAGCTTGACCTTAGAGGGAACCCCAGTCTAAGTACCTTTTTAAAAAAAAAAAAAAAATAGAACCATTCAGATTTAAAAGTCAGTTTCTTAAGATGCCTCTCACTGAGCACACCACCAGTGTGGAGTATATAAAGATGAGTGGTCCTTGCAACATAGTGAAGCCTGGCCCCAGGCCGGGTGAAGGTGTCTATCCCCTGCTTTGGGCGTGCGCAATGGTGGCCTTCCTTGAGCTGCGGGGAGCTGGGCCCCCGGCCTAGTCCAGCTTTTGTGGCCTCAGGACCCCCGCCCTATCAACCTACCTGGGCTGGTGTCTGCTTCTCCACACACAGTCGTCTCAGGGCTGCCTCGCTACTGGCAGGAGCCTCTGGAACCAGAGCTAGTGTGTTGGTGTTTTCAGAGCTCTGCTGTTCCTTTATAAATCCTAAATGACTGAGTCTGGGGAGAGGAGGGGGGATGCCAGTGGCTGCCTCTGTGACTCCAGGGAGAAGCAGACTTCTTACTCCTGTCTTACCTGCTCAGTGTGATGGCTTCTTGCAAATTATTCTCTTATAAAGAGCTTGGCAGGAGTGACTCATCAGTGGAGCTCCCAAAGGATGACATTTTAGCCTGTCAAGTTCGTATTCATTTTCTGTTACTCTCTACCTTCCCACTGTTTTATAACAGTAGGGAACCTAAAACAATTCCTGCCAGGTCCCTGAAGGAATGAAAGCCGACAGCTCCTTTGGGGAGAGCTTAGGACCCTTCAGACAGCACCCATGTCTGAGCGGCCAGATTCCTCTTCCAGGCCCCACTTTCTCTCGGGAAACTGACCCCTCGGAGAGTTGGAAGAGACACTGGGGTGTTGCCTCTCGGGCAGCAGGAGAATGACTTTGGCTTGGAAGGCCTCTGCCATTCATTTCTACAAAGCCAGTGGGTCCAGCAGAGAAAGACCATCCAAGAGCTGCAGTCTCGATGTCCACTGGCTGCTCTGTAGCCCCCTCTGCTGGACTGTCCTCCCACAGCTGCAACCTTTTCAAATATGGAAGGATGTGGGTGTCTGGATACTGATGGAGGCCTTGCCCTCCTATACGGGGGCTTCTGTGGGTGGGACAGGACCTCCCCTGCTCCTGAGCAGCCACTGGTACCCCATGGCTCCATTGGAGCTAAATTCCTAGCATCCAGGGAGTCCTGGGACATTCTGCCTTCACTCTGTAAATGAGGCCTTTTCTCCTGCTGTCTTGGAGTTTCCTTCCCTTCACTGCTTTGTCCTATATTCATCAGGCAAATTCAAAATCATACATTTAAACTCTTAGGAAAACAAAATCTTAAAACTGACACAGATATCGGGGTGCTAATCAACTAACTTAAATCTTGGTTCTTATATAATTTGAACTTGAAAGGATACCACACTGAATTCTGTTCTTTCCTCCCTCCTCACCTCACTTCCTGCAGGGAGCTCAATGCCCATGTGGAAGTGGTTGGGATCCCCAAGTGGGAGGGAGTGGGGCATCCTACCATATTCTAATGTGACTTCAAAGGACAGTGCAAATGTTGAATGCAGAGCTTCACTCTAATACGGAACAGTAACTGTGAGTATATTACCCGTGCTGTCCTCAGCACTGTACACAAAAGGACCAGCTTTTCCAAGTCTAGGAAAATAATGGTAGATACAAATAGAAATACATTTTCCCTAGGAAATGGAGCAACAGGAATTGGAGCTAAGCAGGGACCATGAACTTCTGCCCTGAAATCCTCTCTCCAGGTTGAGGAACAGCCCTGTGTAGGCCCTGGCTGATCAAGCCTGTGTCCTGGCTGGTAAAAACACAACCACCTCTATCATCATCTGAAGGCCAGCGGGGATCTGTAGCCATCCTTGCGTTGCCTAGGCCCAGGAAGGTGAGGTCTCCTGGGCAACCAGGATTGCCCCCATTGTTTCCCAGGGGTGACCCTAGACAGATGACTCACCTGGGTGGCCCAGGAAGGCACTCACCTTGTTCTCTGGGGCTCCAAGCAAGAGCAGGCCAGGGAGGGCTGGGTTTGTACACTACGCTGCATGACCCAGGCCCCCTGGTGGCATGGGAAAATCTCCCCTCTGCTGTTGAGCCCAGGTAGGGGCTTTTCTTTGCAAAGGGTTGAGGAACACAAGACTGAGCTGGCAGGTTAGGGTCCAGGAGGCCTCTGAGATACCATTGCTTACTTCCTGAGAAAACTGGCTCTTGTCCTGGGCCACGTAGTTCCATTCTGGGCTCCAGGCTAGTGGTGCTTCTGTCCATCAAGGGTATCTGGTGAATTGTATGTTAACCTGGAATTGGTAGGGATATAGGATGTTGAATAGCAAAGTGATTTGGGGATTCAACAATTTTATCAATTAGCAACTACTCAGTGGATTTTTATATCTCAGGGCCGTTTGCAAATCTTTAGCTTCTCATATTTCTTAGGTGTTCAAGTTGGTTAATAGGAGAGAGACATTCGCAGACTTCTAAGTTGAGGTTCATTTGCCTCCATTTGAGGGGTGAGTGGTGCACCAAGGCTGAGCTTGCTGCTGTTACTTAGCAAGGCTGTGACAGGCGAGCCTTCCTCCTCTAGCACTTGCAAGCTTTCTGTCTCAATCATGATTTGCTTGCTTGTTTCCCTTTTGCTACCTTCTTTCCCATGTGAAGATTCATATTCCAGAGTCCTCTGGTCAACCCTAAGGACGCGAAGAGGAGATGGCAGTGCACAGCAGCTGCAGAGTGGGGAGCAGCTTTCCTCCCGCCATCCTGGGCTGGGGGTCTTCTTTGCTTCTCAGACCACTGTGGTTGGCCCAGCTCAAGGAAGCTTTCTCTCTGTATGCTACAGCCACAGCCATCATCTCTACTAGAACTGTTTTAAATATCTTTTGATGGGAAATACCAGGTTGAACCTGAAGCAACATGGAAACAAAGGTTCTAGCTGCAAGAGAGTAAAGTTATAGGTGTTTGTATGCCAAGGTTTCTGTGTACACAGATCTAACACTGGAAGAAGGACTTGAGTACACAAGGTTTTCAGGTTTTCATACCCATTGGGACCATGAACAGATGAGAATGACTGGGAGTACTGTCTTGCTTTGCTTGGAAGGATACCTTCTGGCATGTGCCCACATCTGATCCACATGGATTCACTTTTAGGATTCAGTTCTTTGGGGGGCAGACGACTCTGCAGATTCACCCTGAAGAGAACTATCCAGTGGACCTGGTGGCGCTTGGGTACCTGCCCTTTTTATTGGAGGCTCAGGCGTCCAGAGCAGAGCGAAGTTGGAAAGAATGAGGTCTTAGGATTCTTATTTCCCAGAGAGCCCCAGCCTAGCTTCTGATTCATTACTTCTCAAGTCTGAAGTCTACTGTGAAGGTGAAGTTATCCATTTTTTCTTGTTTCTGGAGTCCTTTAAACCCACAAGAGTATATGCTTTATTTTATATTATTTATTATGTACATATGCCTGGTAGTACTTCATCTGTGACTAGGACAAAATCTATCTTGAAGCTTCCTCATCCATGGATCCTAGGGTTCTGCTATCCCTTAAAACAGGTGAAAGGGTAGTGTTTTTTGTTTTTGTAAAGAGGTTGCTGCTTTTATGTGGGCCCTAGCATCCCCAGCCCCTTTAGTTGGGCTCACCTGTATTCTTGAGGACCAGTGTTTTGGGTGAGGATGGAGGGTGAGGATGGAGGCAGGTCTCCTACCTTGTGGCAAGGCCTCTAAGTACCTCCATGAAATATTTCTGAGGTAGCTTCTTGGTGACAGGCTTTCTTCCCCTGTGTAGGACAGAGTCTAGCTGCGAGTCTATAGCCTCCTTCCTCTCAAAGCAGGTCAGTTGCCTGGCCCGACAAGGATAATGGTGTCTTCTGCTTACCTTGGACTGCAGAATCTATCTTTCTGGATAATGGAAGCTGCCTGCCCATCTGGGCTCTTAGTATGCCTTTTCTTGATTTTAAGGCCCAGTGCCAACATTGCCTTGGCCCTCAAGACCCTGCTTTGTGTCTCACTTTCATCCTTCTCAGCCTTTATTCACTGTATCATAGTGTACAGTTCATGCATTTGAGCAGTGAAGTTTTCTGAACACAGTATTCAGAGCTGTGTACATAAACCTAAATAAGCACAAATGACATGTATAGGATTAATGAGCTGACTGTCATAATGAATGCATTTTATAATTCAAATGATGCTGTAGATGTACAATCTCTCCTATTTATTTTGTACCAATTTATTTGTAAATTTTGTGATTGTTTTACAAGGTTTTTGTTATTTCTATTCTATTTAGATAAAAGATGTTCTGTTCACCCTTCTAGCAGACGTGTGTTCCCTCTTCCCCTTCATCTATGCAACACCAACCATGCCATTGTGTTCAGCCTGGCTGAACCAACTGCCCTGCCCACTCGCCTGGCTTTGCTGGTGGAAAAGCTGGGACTGGACCTCAGCATGGCAACATAGAAGAGCATATTCTTTGGACAGTGTGAAGTCTTAAAAGAAGTGAGTACTAGTTCTGTACCTCTAAGTCACAGCCTGGTACAGCCAGTCCTAGGGGGAAGGTGGTCTCCTTTGCAAGGACTGCAATCTGTCCTCCATCAGTTACTCTCTACATAAAAACATTCAGAGTATCCAGTCGAATTGTCCCATATATTGGCTGCTCAGTCACTAATAACACAGTGCAGCTGGGCTAAGCCAGTGGTATTTCCTAGGTAAGACCAAAGGCCTCATTCAGGCCTCTCAATTGGCTCTTGAAGATGAAGATGGCTTTATATTTCCTCCTCTGCTATGCTAAGTCTGGGAGGAGGGTCAGAGCATGCACAGATAGGTCACTCTCAAGTTAAAAACATCCAGCCTGAGTGTGGCAAGGCAGGTGCAGGTGCTCTTTGGGTTCAGTGGACATCCTGCATTCTCCAGTAATTGGTGTGGATGATACACGTTCTCTTCCATCACCACTTTGTCTTCTGTTCCTTCTTACTCTCCTCACTCACATGTGACCAGTCCCTGAAGAACTTAGGGTGGAGCTTCAGGGACCCTCTGTGATCCATTCCTAAGCCACATCTTTCTGGAAACTCTTTTTTCTCCACTCTTAGTCTCCATTGTACATTCCAAAAAGAATCGTGCTCTGAGAATTTAGCCTCTTACTGGTCCATTTATAGTCACTACTGAATTTATTTAACCATGGCATTTGCAGTCTGTTTTACTTACACTTGTCCTGTGGATGGAGACATTTCAGGGAAGAGCGGCTGACAGAATTGGCTTTGAGACACTCCCTGACCCAACTACCACTCCCACCTCCCCAGTCATCACCCGACTTCCTGAAAGTAGAATGAGGTGTATCTATAGTCCAGTTAAATGCCATCTTGGGAGCCTGCTTTCCTTAGAAGCAGGGCAGAAGTGGCAGCAGAGCTGGGGAAAGAAATCACTGTAGCACATTCACTCTCAGCCTGCTGCCTTGGCTAGTTTTTTTCCTGTTTTACTCACTTGGTCTCGATGAGCCCTTAGCTCAAATCAGGAAATGCTCCAAGGAAAATGGAGGCAATTTTTCCTGCTGTCAAGATGAGATTTGCCTAAACTTCCCCACCCCTGCATCCTCGGAGTGCAAACACATCTGTTAATTTCTTTTTTTTTTTTTTTTTTTTTGAGACAGAGTTTCGCTCTTGTTACCCAGGCTGGAGTGCAATGGCGCGATCTCGGCTCACCACAACCTCCACCTCCTGGGTTCAGGCAATTCTCCTGCCTCAGCGTCCTGAGTAGCTGGGATTACAGGCACGCACCACCATGCCCAGCTAATTTTTTGTATTTTTAGTAGAGACGGCATTTCACCATGTTGACCAGGATGATCTCGATCTCTTGACCTTGTGATCCACCCGCCTCGGCCTCCCAAAGTGCTGGGATTACAGGCATGAGCCACCATGCCTGGCACATCTGCTCATTTCTAAGCTTTATCCTGATGCACTCTGGGGTTTCTATTTCACAAAAATTGTGCTCCCTAGAGACGTTTTTTGACTCGGCACTTCTGAGGAAACAAATACTGATCAGAGGGTCTTGTAGACAAAGTGGTAAAAACTGACTTTCTTATAGCCTGGAGTTGATTTCTGGAAACTTATTTTATACTTTTTGAAGTTAATTTAATAAAGACATGATTCCTTATTACAGCCAAAAAGTTAAATTCTATTAGATGGCTAATAAACTTTTGCTTTCTTTGCATGGTAGTTGCGACATTTTCCCTCCAAGGGCCTCACATCTGTGCTCTTATTTGCAAGCAGTCCCAGGACAAAGGGATGGTTCTAGGGTTCTTTTCTCTTTCTGCGCCTTCTCCCCTAGTAGATGACTGTGAGGACCGAGGATGCACGTTTCTAGGAGGGGAATTAGTTGCCAGACTTCTCTAAAGTGCTTTTCCTGTCAGGGTATTAGTGACTGCAGCGTTCAAACAGTAGGACAACACATGACAGGAATTTTTAGATTGGGCCAGCTTTCCTACCGCAATTCTAAGTCACTGACTTGAGGTCAGTGGGTTCAAAAAATTCTGTTTCAAAATACACCCTTAAATCAAAGATTACCTCTGGTGAGAACACTCTCTTAGACTGGACACTGAATAAACATTTTTCAGAGTGGGGAAGGTTTGCTTGGCAAATCTTCTTTCCAAGTATCTCAAGAACTTGTGAGACGTGGAAGGACTATTGCTGTCTTTCCTGGGAAAAATGTGTACTCAGCTGCTTGGGCTCCAGTTTGTGTGGGAAGGTTTATCTCAGTCCAGACTCTTCAGGCCTGGTTTTTACCCCTGGCCAGACATGGCTTTGGGAAGAGAGACCAGAGCATTTAGGGACATATTTATACCTATTTTGTGTGAAGAAATAAAGGGAGCAGATTCAAAAGTCATCATTTTGTTTTAAATTGGAAAACGGATTCCTCAGTCTTACAGTAAACAGAGTAGGCAAGTTTGAGATGTAATGTTCTATGTTCAGTGGGGACTACTGTTTTGTGTTAAAGCTCTACAGAGAAACTTAACTACTGTATATATTTTATTTTTGAGATCACCTACCTTTGTTGGAATTAGTCAGACTGTGTGGCCTTGAAATGAATACACTGTGTCTGAGGACAGGGAAAAATGGTTAAGAAATCCAGGTTAAAGAACAGTAAAGCTTTTTACTCATTTTATAAACGAATGTCCTGCTGCCTGTTTAAAGGACTTGCTTTCTGCTCTGTCTAGATACCTAGCAGTGTGAGAACAGGGTGGCGTGCTGCGTTCCTGTCGGAGGTGTGTGCCGGGCAGTGTGGTTTCTGCTTTCTGGCTGCCTGGGCCTGTGGTCATCCCTGCTCCTTAGCAGTAGTGCATGTTTTTCTTCCGTCATCCTCAAGGCTGCTCTGGTAGAGATTTCATTCTCAGGGCCTCCCAAAAAGTTGTGTATCATTTGAAATTGTTCTATTTGAAGAAAACCATTAAGAAAAGCTGGATTCCCTGGCTACCAATAAAGATCATCAAGAGAAAAAAAAGTATTTGAGCCCTAAACTACGAAGCCAAGTGAGGAATTGGAGTGTTAACTGTGTGGCAATAGTTAGATCATAGTTACCATTTTTCCCACCATCAAAGAGATTAAATAGTTTCCATAACGTGGAATTTGGATGAGGTTCCTGCCCTAATACAGACTTAAATATGCAGTTGTTTGTCTCAGGCTATTTGTGGTGAATAAGCAGAGTATTTATTTAAAAATGACCAGGCAGCACTGGAAAAATTGCTGGGCTTTAAAGCTGTCGACAAAGTATTTCTTAAATAAATATGTCTGATTTAGAAATATCTAAACATGGACAACACAATTTTTAAAACTTACATGCAATTGCATGTGGCTTTTATAAGTTGTTCCTTAAAAACAATGCTAATGTGACTTAAGGATTTGTAGTTCTATTAAAAACCACTTCTAAAAGTATCTTAGGGTAGCTTGAAAAGTTTGCCTTATTATTTTAGGTCTCAGCAGAGCTACGCTTATGGCAAGAGGAAATATCTTTGGTCTAAATAGAACGTGGAACTTTCTTGGCTGTGACCAACTTTTCTGAAGTATACCATGAGCTTTCACTGACCATCTTTGCAGAGATGATGTACTGGGCAATTCCTCTCCCCAAGGAAACCCAGCAGGGCCTGGGTCTGCAGGGCCTGGGTCTGCTGTACCTCTCTGACCAGCTGCTGGGGACGCTAGGCTCCCTGTTAGTCAGTACATATTGTAAGGTTGGGAGCTCCATCTAGCACCCAAGAAGGGGCTGCCTGGTGTTCTACAATGCCTGTAAATAGTGTTTTCAAAATGCCTAGGAAAAAATTCTGTAAAGAGATGGCAGACTGGTCGTCTCATGGTGTAAAACTCCTCAGAAATTTTTTTTCAAAGGAAAAAGTATACCTTTTAAGTTCAACTTCCTTAACTACTCGCAACAGAGAGAAGTTCCTAATTTATGTTTTAAAAAGCCCAATTATGGTTGCCCTTCCTACCCATGGACCATTGACTTCCCAGTACACTCTTTTTTTTTTTTTTGAGACGGAGTTTTGCTCGTTACCCAGGCTGAGTGCAATGGCGCGATCTCGGCTCACCGCAACCTCCGCCTCCTGGGTTCAGGCAATTCTCCTGCCTCAGCCTCCTGAGTAGCTGGGATTACAGGCTCGCGCACCACCATGCCCAGCTAATTTTTTGCATTTTTAGTAGAGACGTGGTTTCACCATGTTGACCAGGATGGTCTCAATCTCTTGACCTTGTGATCCACCCGCCTCGGCCTCCCAAAGTGCTGGGATTACAGGCGTGAGCCACCGCGCCCGGCCCTCCCAGTACACTCTTAACAAGAATAATATACAGAGAGGCACCATTTTGCTCTGGGTTTTGTGGAATCCTAGACAGGTTTAATAATACATTTCGGTGGTCCTATGGAGAGTTGTGACTAGTAGTGGAGTTTTTATTAGAGCTGGTTGTGTGCTTTTTACTTTCCTATCTTGGGACCCAGAGAATCACTTGCCATGGAATCATCTGGCTGGTAAGAGACACTTATATGGATGTAATACAAAAAGCGGTAAATCAAAGCCATCATATGGCCCTAAAAGGGACAATATGTAAATGTACTTACTATGATAAGGTAGCTCTGTAGATGTAATATATTCATAAAGTCTTTGGGTTTAAGAAAATTTAGGACTATTTTAAACTGGGACATCTCCATCTTGAATGATAATAATTAGTAATTGGGATGACCACACAGTCTCCTAACATGGGCAACAGTCTAATTGCTATTGCAATTGCATTTCTGACCTGATTCTTTTAAAGGGGCATATATTCCCAATAGATGATAACATTTAGAATGTATGTTTCTTGGATGGATGACTTATTCAAAGTAGTGAGGCAGTATATCCTTGACTAAGTAATCAGGCTATGTTCCCTGCTTATAAAATGAATTTTTTTTTTTAAAGCCTCACTTCACAGTCCTGTTGCAAAAGAACTTTCTGGGGAAAACACTGTGAGGCCTATGAAATACCATGAATATAATCATGTTAGAACATATCAGTTCTTGAATATTTCTTTTTAACCAAAAGAGATCTGGGAACATTTTCACATTCCTTGAAAATACATATTTCCTTTAAGAGAATGTCAAACATGTTACTACACCAAATCTAAACCCACTTGAAAACCAATAGCTGTTACAGTTGTGCTACAGAATAGGTCAGAGTCAGCATTAGAAATATTACACTTTATTGAATTCTGGAGCAGCTAATCTACCCTCCCCTGTTGACCAATGACGAGAATGGAAGAAAATATATGATGGCTAAACTAAGTCTATAACCACTGTTTAAGATGTTGGAAAAACTTTCACTGTACTGGTAAAACAGTTTTAATACCCTAACATATACAGTGATGATTCATTCTTGTTTAAAACAAGAAGTGATTTCGACTTGGGATTTTTTTTCTTGAGGGGTTTCACTCTTGTTGCCCAGGCTGGAGTCTAATGGTGTGATCTTGGCTCACTGCAAACTCCACTTCCTGGGTTCAAGCAATTCTCCTGCCTCAGCCTCCCAAGTAGCTGGGGTTATAGGCATGAGCCACCACGGCCAGCTAATTTTGTATTTTTGATAGAGACGGAATTTCTCCCTGTTGGTCAGGCTGGTGTCGAATTCCCGACCTCAGGTGATCCGCCAAATCGACCTCCCGAAGTGTTGGGATTACAGGCGTGAGACACCGTGCCTTGCCTCGGGATTCTGAGTGAATTGTTTCACACTGATTGTGCTCTCTGCTTTAGTAAGGTTCTGGCTTACAGAGCCCTCTTCCCATCCTCTGATGTTCAACTTTAATAGACAGTAGTCAACTCTAGAGGATAAAGAAATCTGGAATTGGGTAGCATGAGCCACAGTTACACAGCCCACACTAATGAATGTTCTACTGTAGTATAAGAAGGAAGTTCCTCCCTTTCTTTTCTGGGGACTTGTTCCTTTGTCCTCATACAGCTAAATTCTTTCTATAGATTTATCACAGATAAGGAAAAGGTGGCTTTTGGATAACAAATAATAAGCATTTGTGCTAATAACAAAAAAAGTATTAAGAATACTGTCTTTTCCCTCAAAATAGAATCCTGCACTAAAGCAAGTAGAGAATACATCTGTGCAAAGCCACCGATAGAGAGGCAGCCTTGCCAGAGTCACTGAGGATGATTTAAAGGCTTATAAAAGGAAACTTGACCTTAACAGAGACTACAGTTGATCATGGAAATATTAATATTTCTCCACTGATATACAATACCATGTAATGCACTGAAAAAGTTGGATCTTGGAGTTACAGCACAATTTGTAACATTACAGCATTTCAGATCACCTCTTCCCACTCTTTGTTCTACTCTGAGACCCTTCACCACCCCTTGTGTATCCAGATACACTATGACATACTGATGATTTTAAAAAAGTGTCACAAGCCACAATGGAGCCAGCATGCAGTTCGCCCTGGTTTTACCCTTATTTTCTTCTAATACAGACTCCATTACAGTTTTGGACCATCTGCAGAGAATACAGATACACAAAACCAAAACAAGTATCTCTCTATGATAACAGAATCTTCTGAAACTTTTCAGATGTACCTTTCATGTAGCCCCCCCCTCCCTCCCCCGCAGTAGAACCCTAACAGGGACATCATTTGTTCCTGTGAGTCCTGCCAGGACTTGTTTAATGGGTGCTCAGCGTTTTGGTTTTCCTCCTTATTCTTCCTCTTCCTCATCATCATCTTCATCATGGCAGTGTGTAATTTCCTGGGGAGCCAGTGGGAAGAGGTTGGGAGGTTTAATCTCGCTAATTGACCGTGTCAACTGGTGCCGCTTGTAGTCAGTATCTTTGAAATCCACTGATGTGCGGTTCCGGGTGGCAAGAGGAGACTCCATCTCATTGATATCTACATGTGTGTGCTCCACCGTTGATTCATGAGGCATCTAGATGGAACAAACCCAGAGGCTCAGAAAGCAGGCAGAGCAAAGTAGCTTCTTCCCAAATCCTAACCCCTCTCCTCTGTTAGGTTGGCCATACAGTTACACCAATAATGGACCACAGGACAAGTCAATTTAGACTTATTTTCACAGAACTACTTTTAACTGTCTGTCTTCCTTTCTCCCTGCCCCTCAAAATGGTGCCCAGGTTGTCTACTGCAGCCTGAAATTGAAAAAGATAGTTTATTTTCTACTTCACAGCAAAAACAAAATAGTCCCAAAACAGTTCAGAATATAAGAATATAAAAACCATTTTCTTTAAGACAGGGTCTCACTCTGTCACCCAGGCTGGAGTGCAGTAGAGCAAATCACAGCTCACTGCAGCCCTGACTTCCTGGGCTCAATGAATCCTCCCACGTCAGCCTCCAAAGTGCTGGGGTTACAGGCATAAGCCACCATGCCTGGCCCACATGAAACTTTTTAATAGAGTAGACTTCAGAGAGTAAAGTTATACCCTGTAACTTCCAATTTTGGTTCTACTTTCTCAGAGACCCCTTCTTAGGCAACCATACAACCTGCCCATGGGCTCTGTACATCAGAAAGAAATGTTCAAACCATCTCCTGTGCCATCTCACAAAGCTGGTTCCTGATCCTGGGCTTAGAGTACATCTTGGCTATCAATTACAACTTTAACTCACCAAGACATGGGCAGCCCTGAAGAGGTAGCTGAATGGGTAATACAGCAGGTTGATGAAAGACGCTGCATAGAGGTCGGCGTAACGCATCACTTGACTTGCAAAAAGGGTCTGCCGAGAGCCACTGCGAAACAGGCTTCCCATCATCCCATAGCACATGTCCATGTCATGAGTTACTTTCTAAAACAAAGAACAAGATTGATTCTCAGCTCATTCAACAAATATTTATTAAGCAGTAGTAGTTGAGTGCCAGTCTTTATAAAAATCAGAAATGTGAAAAAATCCTTTTTAAACTTTATTTCCCAAGTTTCCTCCCAAATCTTATTTGGATACCTTAATACGTCTCTGGATGGAACTAATGTCTGGACGCTCATTGCTACTGCTATCAAGGTGCCTGAAGATAAAAGAAAAACTCAGTGAACATCTCTGAGAAGAGTTTGAAAAAAAGTAACACTTATTCAGAGTGACAGTGGAGTGATCTCAGCTCACTGCAACCTCAGCCACCCGAGTTAGCTGGGATTACAGTCATGCACCACCACACTCAGCTAATTTTTGTATTTCTGTTAGAGACAGGGTTTTGCCATGTTCCCTAGGCTGCTCCTAAACTCCTGGCTTGAAGTGATCCACCTGTGTTGGCCTTCCAAAGTGCTGGGATTACAAGCATGAGCCACCATGCCCAGCCTGGAAAGGACTTTTTTTTTTGAGATGGAGTTTTGCTCCCGTTGCCGAGGCTGGAGGGCAATGGCTCAATCTCGGCTCACTGCAACCTCCATCTCCCAGGTTCAAGCAATTCTCCTGCCTCAGCCTCCCAGCACGCCCAGCCTGGAAAGAACATTTCTTATATCTAACTGATTCCTGAAGAAGTTTTTAGGAAAGAAATTTTTAGAAAACTTACTTGTAGAGTTCAGCCAAAAAAATATCCAAGCTCTGAAGCTCTTCGAAAAGTGCTAGTTAAGGTTTGGAAGGAAAAGGAAGATATTTTAAATGAATAGGCACCCAGTTTTTAGCCACAGCTAAAACTAAAAGGTTACAGATGTCACTGAAAAGTATAACCTGGGACTAACATGCTGTAGGTCAGTATATAGTGACCTACTCCTTCCCTTCATCAGGATAACTCATGGATACGGGCTTGGAGTCTGACAATAGATGAACACCATTTTCTCTTTAATTGCCTTTCCTCCTGCTTAAACACCATGACTACAACTTTCCCTTCCAGCCCAGAATTTATACCATCTCAGGTATAGTCAGCTAAGCAACTGTTAACAGTCCCATTTTTAGATGAAAGATTGAGAATTAGGTGACTTGTCCTGAGTCACAGGTCCAGGGTCAAATCAACCAGATTTCTAAAACTTCATAGGTGGTAAGTTGAAAATATGAATCCCACTGATAGTACACACAATAATAGCAACAGTCAGCATCTACAGCATGCTTCCTGTGTGTTGCAGCCTATCTCAACCTGGGTTCCTCAGAATTAAGCCCCCCTCCGTCTATCGTATATAACACATTTTCTTCTATCTACCATCTTTAGAACTGAGAAAGTGTTACTAAATTTTCTGTATTCAGCTCCATTAGGTAAAATAACGATAATTTTCTGTTTTAGATGAGGAGCCTTGGTTGACAGAGGCTGTCATGTCTATCTTCTTTATACACATATTACCTAAGTTTTTCATCAGCTTTAGGAGATAGGTATTATCCCCATTTTTAGATTTGAGGAAACTAAGGCACAGGGTGTCTCAATGACTTGCCTAAGGGCATGCAGATTTCAAGTTAAGGAGCGAGGGCTCCTATCCCAGGCAAGTTGAGTTTCCAGAGTCACCTTCACCACACTGCAGGTAATGTGCACCAAGGCTGGCTGGAGAACTTGTATATCAAACAATGCTCTAAGACTATATCTGTAACCCAATTCAGCATAGTATATAAACTGCATATACACAGTGTAGCTTAGTTCAGGAATACAATATGGCCTCATTCTCTATATCTCAGAACAGTAAATAAAAAATACCAGCGGTGATTAACATTCAGAGCCATCACTGCCCCAGAATCACAGATACCGGCTGTTAGCAGAGAGACTGGGACTACTAGGCATGGTTGAGGAAACATGGGTCCATGGAGGAAAAGTTGAGTTCCAGTTCACAACTCAGTGTTACTGTAACACAACTCAAGACACCAACATTCTATACTTCAAAGAGATTCAAGAAGGTTAAACAAGATAACCTCTCATGTTTATTCAAATTCTAGAGTTCTGTAAAATAGCTGAATATTCTGTGGGAAGGAGATATCCGAATATCAAGGCCCACCTTTTGACCACCTCTGAATTTCTGAATACAAAGGAATGGTTTATCAAAGAGGACTGATTGACAGCTGGTCATTTCGATATACACTGCATCAAAGGTTTATGAAATGGCTTACAACTCTTGTCAGTCCAGACATGCAGCTCCTGCGCAAGTTCAGGAATCACCAAAAAAGTTCGCCACCCTTGTCGTTTCTTGGATTTTAAAATGTCCCCAAAAATGTGATCTCCAATATACAAAATGTCTTTTCCCTTGGCTCCCAACAGATCACAGATTGTATCAGAAGAACCTAAAACAACAAAGTGAACAATGAGAAAACTGTCTCTATGTTAAAATCAGCATTCCAAGTATTATTATAACCATTAAATTCTACGATTCATTTTATTCTTATAGTTATATCAGGAACAGATTAGAAAAAAATAAAGACTCACCATTATCTTTTTACTGCCTTCAAAGACAAGGCCTTCAGCTCCACTGTGCTGACCAGAGCTCTTGATCAGCAAATCCAAGAGCCACAAAACTATATCCTTATATTAGTGAAAATAACCTTCAAAAGAGCCACTGCCAGTTTGATCACAAATCTGCCATTAAGCTGGCTTTCTTTAACTGTTTGTAACTACAACATACTATATACCTATGCCCACGGAGCTCCTTCAAAAACCCTTGAGAACATATTGAGAAGTATCCCTAAGTGATTCCAGGCACTGAAAAAAAGCCTCCAATAGGATTTTAAAAAATAATAATAATTTTAGTGAAAATCACATTCATTAGGCTATACTAACAACTGCTTAAACCTAGACTCCTATTGCATTAAGAGGTGACTAAACAACTTCAGTATGACATCTTAGAATACTAAAGAGTACACGTGGCACTCTGCTGAGAGATCACCAAAGCTTTCACAGTGAGAGGTCTGAGCAAAAACTTACATTAAATAAAGGGAAGTCTGTGACTAACCTCCTGAGTAGACAATACCATGCTGTAAGGGGCCTGTGTAGGTACCAATTTTCAGCTTGCCAGTTTTCTGTGTGAAGAATATGGACTTTGTAATACTTTATTATCCTATCACAATCCTCCCCCTCACCCCACAACCCCCCCGCATTCTACCCCCACCTCCAGTGCTACTTGGCC